AGGGAGGGAGGGAGGGAGGGGGAGGGGGGGAGAGAGAGAGAGCAAGTGAGGAGAGAGCGAGGTAGAGAGGCATAACGCGCACGCGTTTTCATATGACCACCAGGATTGTTGACTTTGTCATATTGAAACACATTATTACCAGCGGAAAAACAGTAGCAGCGGGAGCAAGGGAGAGAAAGAGGCGAATGAGGGAGGGAGAGGGAGGGTTGTGGGGAGGTGGGGAGGAGGGCGTCGTCGGCGAGGGTGGCCGTGCAGCAGCAGCGGGCGACATCGTGCGCGTCCTGGTCCTGTGTCATGCATGTATGCGTGAGGACCGGCCGCCGGCGTTAATCGAATTCATTCGATGCCATCGATGAGCCACACGCCGCCAGGGCATGCCTTGCCCCCCAACCCCCTCCCCCGGAGAGCTGTCTGGGCTTCCACCAACCCCCGTATGTGCGAAACAAGGACGGGACCAGGCCAGAGCCAGGGAGCGAGTGAGAGGGGCCGACCTGGCGCTGCGAAGCGGCGAGTGCCACATGGCAGCATAATTTGCATCCATGGTGTATGTGTGTGTTTACACAGGTGCTAAAATATGTGGATAAATATGTATCTGCCTCCCTCTCTCCTCTCTCTTGCCTCTCTCTCCCTCTCTCACCTCACCTCGCCCAAACGCGCGGTTGTACAGCGTGTTTGTGCGTGGCCGGCTACATACTATATATATATATATATTCCACAACACTGTAATAGGGGTAGTGACGTGCGGAAGGGAGCGGACCCACCCGGCACGGCTACAAAAAACTAACCCCCAACGGAATCAAGTCGCCCCCGCCCAGCTGGCCGTCCTCCGGTATGGACCAGTAAGCCCAGTGGTGTGGCGCTCGCCGCGGGCAGGCGAGGCGGCGTGCAGAGAGGGGCTTCCCACTTTCTTATTCGCACAAAAATAGAAAAGAAAGAATCCAACCCCACACGGCGGTGAGGTCAGTATTTGAACCCGCGGGGCCGTGACGTGGGCGCGAGCGCCCCTTCCTATACCGGGGACACACACACCCACACAATGACGAGGTGGTGGTGGTGGTGGTGGTGGGGTCTTACACACCCCGCCCCGCCGACACCGCGACTCGACCGGCTTCTCTCGCACTCCTCTCGCCTCTCTTCTCCACCACCCGTCTCGTCTCGTCGTGCAAATTACCTCGCATTGTGCGAGCAGATTGGCTCCATCGGGCGGGGCGAGGAGGAGGAGGGGGTCGGCTGGCCAGCCGGTCCTGTCGTGGGGAGAAGGGACGTCCTCATTGCCTGCCATGTTGTTCACCTCACCGCGCCTTCCTTCACCCCTTCCACCTCCTGCTTCCTCGACGTTACATCTCCCGCGAACACGGTGGAGAGAGAGGCGTGCCCGCGAAGTTTCTACCTGGCCGGGGCCGGACCGAAAAACTGTGGGTCGGATGGTCTCCTATGGTTCTATCAAGTACATCAAGTCCAAGTCAAAACGGTTGCGCGTGTGTGCCGTGTGCCTAGCCTACTCCGACTTGCTTCCCAAATTTTCGTGTCCCTTCGGACTGCTAACGAATCTCAGGGTTGTAAATTTTCTGTTCTAATACAAACATGAATATTAGTGGTAAGTCATGAAAAGAACAAAAGCGCAGAACCTCCTAACTGCTTTATCATCCCTCCCAGTTAGTCGAATATAAATATCCTCCTCCCGGTTGTCTGCATTATATGCCAGCCCATGCTGGTGGTATGGCCCGGGGGTAGCATATAGGACTGCGCGCCCACGGCAGCGAGCTGCGGTAGCCCTCGCGGTAGCCAGACAACGGACAAATAACGGCCTAATCCTTTTCGAGTGGCCGGCAGCGGCGGCGGCGGCGTACGGGACGCAGGCATATATAGCCCCATGTATGTGTACACAGTCAGAAAATGATTCTACCCCTGGCCGCCCATGAGGCCCCCATAGAGAAGCATGCAAAACGATAATAGTGCCTTCCTGCTTTGCTTACTGATTTGTGAAATCGGAGCGCGCGCGGCAAAAGACTGGAGGAGACGACAGGGTGTGTGTGTGTATGTGCGTGTGTGACTGACTACCGTAGTGTGAGCGCCCCCACTATGCCGACGGCGGCGGCGGCTGCAGCCCACCCACGGCGCACCTGGCTCGTCTATCTGCTTAATAAGACTGACGACTGTCAGCGTCACCCACACCGCCACTGTTTGGGTGCACGGGAGGTGAAGGCGCGCTGCCGTGGGCTTCCGGCCCGCGGGGGTGGGGCACCGGCACCCGGCACCCCCTGCTAACCTAAAGCCCCCCTCGCGGCCGACGGAGCACCATCCGATCCGCTTATTGGAAGGATATGACCCGCGCGCTGCTGGTCCGCCTTAGTCCGACCCGAGGAGAGAGCGACTCGCAAATTATTTAACGTCCGCGAGGCCCTGCCACGCCCCGCCCCGCCACGCCCTGCCGGCCACAAACTTTGAGCAAGCAAGGGATCCCGGCCGGCCCCGCTCGGCCCGTGGGGCCTGCTCACTCTTTGTGGGCACAGCGGCGCGGCCCGCGACCAGGGAGGGGTGGCCACGCCCCGCCCCGCCCCGCCACGCCCCGCCACGCCCAGATCTGACTTACCCCCGGACTTACGCCGGGCTGCAAGGAAGGGCGGGCGGTTGCGGCGACGGGTACAAGAGAGAGGGTTCATTGTTCATTGTTTTTTGAGGGCGTCCGCAAGTTTGTCAAAGGGCGGGCCGGGCGCGTCGAGTTGAGCACGCGGGAGTGGCGGAGGGCGGGGCCGGAGGCACATGATAAGGGGCCATCCATTAAGTACGTCCGAGCTCGATGGGGAGGGGGGGGTCTCTCAAAAAGGGATGTCGATGGACCTGGGGGG